AGGCATTGTTTTCCCTTGTATTTCTCCTTCTTTCCCTGCAATGTTGTGAAACTTGGTGAAGTCATGCAACATCTTCTCCAAAGCAGATTTCGGCCTTTCTAGTTCGGCATGAGTCATCAGGATGGTATGTAGAGCAAGCAACCAATAGGCATGCAGCATTCCTCTATTCCTCTTCCTAATTGGCTGTTGGATTTGATTCGATTAACTTAATTAACACCTGTTCAAAGCCATTCCATATTGACAGTATGAACTGAAGTGTTTGGTAGGTACAGCACAGGCCACGAAATACGCATTGATTTTCGAGGGACGTTCTGCGGGAGAGTGCAGGACGCTCTGCGGAAAAGTGTGGTACGTTCTGCGGGAGAGTGCGGTCCGTTCTGTGGGAGAGTGCGGTACGTTCTGTGGGAGAGTGCGGTACGTTCTGTGGGAGAGTGTGGTACGTTCTGCGGGAGAGTGCGGTACGTTCTGCGGGAGAGTGCGGTACGTTCTGCGGGAGATGTCGTAAAATGTGGTGAAGCCATGCTGAATTTGCTCCAAAGCGAATGTCGGCCTTTCTAGTTATATTTGGCTTATCTGGTAATAGACTAAAAAATAAAAGCTAATTTAAGGAATTTAAGGAGAAGAAAAAAACAACTTTAATACAAATATAAAATTAACAAGAATTCCGAGACCTCATACCTCAATGAAATATGATCTTGATATGTAAATGTAAATTTCTTCTTTAATTGTGCAAATGACCTCTGCATTAACATGATATATGCATCGTGATGTATGTTAACTTTTGATTAACTTACAAATGTCCCAAGTATGACATTCTCATCATTCACCATTACAAAATCATAGAATGTTCGCATTAATTATGCAAATTAGATCATCATTTGCATAATTAGTATCTGTTGAAGTTCCGCCTGCCATTGGTTACATACATCAGATGTATGTAAGTAGTATAATGTAAAACACTGTAATTATAGCATTTCCTCATTAATTATGCAAATAAAGTCCTCATTTGCATAATTTGTATTTAATTATGTACATCTGTTGAAGTTCCGCCTGCCATAGGTTACATACATTACATGTATGTAAGTAGTATAATGTAAAACACTGTAATTATAGAATTTCCTCATTATTTATGCAAAGTCCTCATTTGCATATTTTGATTTCATTATGTACATCTCTCTCTCAGCTACCTACACTCCAAAAATAATGAAGACATTCTCATCATTCACTATTACGAAATCATAGAATTTTCGCATTAATTATGCAAATTAGGTAATCATTTGCATAATTAGTATCTGTTGAAGTACCGCCCGCCATAGGTTACATACATTACATGTATACTAAGTAGCATAATGTAAAACACTGTCATTATAGAGTTTCCTCATTAAAAATGCAAATAAAGCCCTCATTTGCATAATTTGCATTTAATTATGTACATCTCTCTCTCTCTACATATGTTGTTCCTGTCTGGACTTATTTGCTTTTAAACATTTCGCCAGAAAGTGCCCTGCAGTTCCAGAACAAGCCGCTAGGGGGCCCAAACTCATATGACTTCTTCCCAAGCACGAGAGCTACCTTCCATCAAAATTTTATGACCCTAGCATGTCCAGATCGCGGAAGTTGCGCTGCAGTACCAATGGAAGCCACTAGGGGGACCAAAATCTCATCATTTCCAGTTTTCGTCACACCCTACCAACACACTAAGTATGAAACCAATCCATCCAGGCGTTCTTGAATTATCTTGTTGACCAACAGACAGACGGACAGACGGACAGATAAACGCAACTGAAAATATAACCTCCATGACACATTTCATGGAGGTAATTAATCTACATTCTAGAACGTAAATAAATTGTGTAAATTGTTTTTGAGCAAGCCATGGACGACATAACGTCCCAATTTTTTCATACTATTTGTTTGGGTTGTTTGACTTTAAGCTTTGGAAAGTGAGGATATTACGGCGGTCGGCTGCTGGACTAAAAGTCGCATTACTAGGGAGGTATCGGGTTACAGAACGTGGCCCCGCGGGAGTCCCGAGCTGGTCTAGGGGTAACGGGTAGAATTTAAAAAATACACAAAAATTACTGTACAGTAAATACTTGCCAAAATAATAATTAAAAAAAAAACAACTTACAATTGGGTTTAGCGTAACGTAGTAAGTTAATACTGTGCTAACTTACGTAGGGCCACACCCCAGAATGGTCCTATTGTGCAACCATCTAGTGAAAAAATCCAAGTCTGTCGTCTTGAAAGGAATGAAGATATGCAATGCATGCTGAAAATACGGGAGAAAATACTTTTTTACTGATTCCAAATCTCAATAAATTATAGCTTATAACAACGAGTTATTTCAACCGGTGCAAGTGTCTTGTTTTTAATAACATGGTAAATACGTTTTGTACATTAATATCCCGTAAGATAAGTGACATTTACCATGGAACGTACCTTACATAATAATATACCTTTAATTGTAAACAGAATATATTTCCTTGTTTTTTTGTTTGAAAATGGCAAAGAAAGTAACGTATGTTCCTGATATTCAACCAATGCATTATAAACTGCATTTGTATAACAGACTTAAGAAACGAGAATAATTTGAACGTGTACACATTAGTATACTATAGCTTACTAGTAAGATACCAGGCTTACATCACTGTTACAGTCCATAGAACGTTATCACAATGAACTTCACTTGGCTTGCAATGGCATAAATGTACAATAAAGGTTTTTAATTCATTATTCATAAGTTGCGTTCCATACCGGACTGAAGGGATTTGTTCCACTTCAATACGACTGTAGCAACTAAGCAAAGTCAACGGGATAAAGTGTGAAACTAACCGAACTGGAGATCATCTGGTGCTTATGATGTGACTCCGGAAAGGAAATATAGAAGGACAGCTTTTTGCCTACATCTCTAGTAAATGGCTCTTGCATGATAGCATGGTTCAATCTAGAAGAAAAATTGAAATGTCTGCATGTTGCATTGATGTTGTTGTGTATTGACACGGAGGTGATTATGCGCATGATGTAACTATTGCTCTTGATATTGCTAAACAAATTGAAAAGCACATGAAGTAATTGCAAAAAACTGTCTTACCTCGTACTTTATGGTTTCATTTAAAGAAGTTTCGTCTCCTAAGTGTTGTTAAGTAATGCACATGACATTTATCTACATTTATCTACTATATGAATATATAATACACACACATGCATATATTCATTGGCACAAACGCAAACATACACACACACAGAGATTTATACACACACACTAACAAACATACACATATACACACAAGCGCATATACACACAAACAAGTATTTATTAGACACATTTTTATTTTCAACCTCGCACACATAAACACACACACACACATATATATACAAATATATGCATTTTCGCACAATCACATACACGCAAACCCACATTCACACACAAGCACATAAACATACACATTTACATACTCGCAAACAAATACAGACACAGTTATGATGGTTGCTGATTCTTGTGGTCCAAAGATTACATGCAAACACGGACATATCTATGAATCTTATCCGTAAATGTTTACCTGAAGACATAGTCGTGCGCGTCTATTTCCTCTCCCTTCATTGACCCTAACAAAACCCCTCCTGTCCCCACCACTGCACACCGGACACACGGCTTCCTCTCACGGGCGCCATGGAAACCGAACACATCCGGGTTGTCTAACATGCCGATCAGACGCTCGGCAGCTAAAGGAGAACATTGATTGTGTTCTTCTAGTTAACAATACAAGTTTGCTCTTGATATATTACAGACCCCCCCAAAAATAAACTTGCTGAAATACTCTTAATATACAGTTACTAGTAATATGTGATTGTCGATTTTTGACCATGCTGAACCTAGATGTGCTGCGTGATTCGTTACAAAAGCAATGCTTGACAATTCAAGGCCCGAGCTGGTGAACCAATAAAGTTGGCTTATTTTAGTGGTAAATTAACATTACATGAATTAGAGTGTGTTTTGATAAATATTTTGCAGCATATGTACCTGGTAAGGAAAATTCTACAGACGTGACGAATATATAGGATAGTACGTGGATTGCGTGTTTTATCTCAAAGTTTTATATCTGACCTTTTTTGTCACTTGTCTTGTACCCGAAAGGAAGAGTGAAATATGCACTGAGATGGGATTTCCAGTAAGACTCTTCCAGATCCTCTTGATCCATGAAGATTTTGATGTCTTCCACGAATCGATTCTTAAACCAAGCGGACGAGCTAACTTTCCGGCGGAGACTATCAGGACAAACCTATCGGAAAGATAGGTTAACCGCTCAATTTGTTTTAAGTTTGTTTTGAGCTGCTATCTATCAAAAAAGTTAAAAGAATGATGCTTGATTGTGTTATTAGCATTTAGTATATTATACCTATTTAACAACATCCTGTATTTCCGTGATACTATAAAAACGTGTTGAACTATTTACATAAATAAGTTCACAATACCGCACCTTTACAACACAGAGCCACTCTTTACATTGAGCCACTCTTTACTGCCCCACCGAGGTATAAACACAAATTAATGGCTATTATGGACTACCGGCTATTCCAAGATCCTGGCGTACCTTGGTGTTGCACTTGAGCCTATTTTTTAAGTTCCAAAATGTTCCACTTTCAGGACAGATACTTGTAGTACAAGTAATACGATGTAGGATTTTTTTTTTTAAATTTTGGATAGCGTTGAATAGTTGAACTCCTTCAAAATTTAGTGCATCACTTTACAATGGCACTGTGCGGACACTACAGAACACTGCAGCCCATTTGGCATATAACAACAAAACGTCTTGTATCCTGCAATGATTTGTTTCAAATGTGAAATAACATTACAGAACTAAAGAGAGGGTACACATTCCTTTGAAGTTTACAACATCGTTAAAAATGTTATTACACTTGCATATCTTGATTATATGGTATAGGATCTCTACGGGCACTACACATCTTTACGGACACTGCAACATGGTAATTTATGACTGTCATTTTGTTTATTTACAACTAGTATCAAAGTGGCTTTTTAAGCGCCAGCGGTACAAGGGGATATTTTGCCATAAACACAGTGGTCAAAAACGGCCTCAAAAATCCCCACTCGTAACTAATTAATATTAATGAAAATAAGATGTCAATTGCACTTGTGACCATTGGCAACTGTCCATGATTGGTTGACACTTTTGTGGGCCGGCTCTAGGAATGTTTACCTTAGCTGTTTGCCCCCTGTTCTATTCATATGCGCACTTCTGCTGATCCTCAACTGTTCTAATTTCACACATTCTAGCAATACGTAGCGTGGGTACAAGGTATGATCAATTTCTGGCCTGGTACACACACACAGAACAACATCGTTTCTAACTCTCTGTGTAATTCAGTTGCAACCAAAACGTAAAATTACTCAGATAGCGGCGGCCACTAGGTTACCCTTGACCGGCCAAGATCGGGCAAGAATTCGAAGAACGCTGATAAGCCAAAATCCTCGATGAGACTTAGACTACATGTTACTAAAAAAGCCGCCCTTATACCATTTTCTGCAAAATATAAAATAAACCCTGACTCGTACTTTAAAAGTGATCTTGTTGTTTGCAAATATAACAAATTTTAGAAATATTCGGGCCCGCTGCTAGGTGTTATGGAGGCATGCCGGTCAGACACATAGTGGGCGGGGCCTATTCACATAGCAACTGGGATTTTTGCATAGTAACAAGACCACCGTGAAAGTATTAAAGAATGCATTTTTGATAACGAGCAATACATACTCTAGAATCATCTTGTTTTCAGCAAAACATATTTTAAAAACAATTAACTTAAAGTCTTAACTTATTGCTCAATTGTTGATTTGATTTTTGGTCAGAATTACCAAATATGCAACATTATTGCAACAGTATAACGTAAATTGGCAATTGGGCATAAAGTTGGCCCTAGCGTAATGTTGTTAACTCCTATGTGCCAAAAAAGCTTCATGATTATCTGGAGAACACTTAATGCAATGTATATTTTGTGAGAATGATATGACAGTGCAGGATGCGATTGGTACACCCTAATCCTAGAATAGCCGTAAGCAGTAGTGGCCATGTGTTTACTCTTCACTACAAGGGTGTTTTAGCTGCTACAGAATGTACCGATATGCACTTACTGATTGCACGTGATGTTCGTCTTTGGTGTAAGGCACGTCTTGGAGATAGATCCTTTCAAAGCGAGGTGGTATCAAGTTCCTTAGGATGTTTTTCGGCAACTTCACTGATATATTTCCATATTTGTTTTCTTCTGTTTCTGACACAATGTTAATAACCTGTTGTACAGAAAACGGTAGAAGCTGCATAAAGTAGTTCTGAGCTTTGTTTTGCAGCTCTTTTTGTTGTAATGATAATGAGTCACCGCCTACGAAAATTTTACGAACAATCCCACGACGGAAAAATGAAAATAAAATCTTGAGACCCCATGTTATCAGATATTTGTGCATCAGTACAGGAATTTTGGAGGAGTTGACAAGCGGTAATTGCAATGAAAAATTTAAAATTTACTATCATCCCACTCTGAAATCAAATTTTCTCACTTAGGCCCTAATGTAATTAAGGGATTTTACAAGTATAACCTACCCGAACTTTTTTCTGCGAATGGCATGACTATACCAAGATCCATGTTGTTTCTCACACCCAAAATATACAGTGTAATTTCTTAAAATAGAAACAAAATCCTACGGTCGAATATTAAGTCGCACGTCTGTCCACCTTTTTGAGGAGTACGTTGATTTATTCACTCGAAGCACATGGCCTGAGACACAAGTGTTTGAATCGCCTGGTGTCTCTCAAGTTACTCAGAGTAATTGAACCACTTTACTCCTCAAGAAGGTCGACAGAAGCGCGACTGAATATCAGAGGTGATGTCGATATAATTTTTACTAAAGTACAAACTTCAGTATGGAATGTACAAACGCGGGTAAGATTTCATGCCAATTCTGAATTATAATAAATTGAATTATTCTAGTAACATAGTCGTGTATGGCGGAAAATTGAATAAACTCAATTGATCTTTATAACAAGAATTGCAGTCAAAATAACCATTTTGAAGGTATGTGAGTGTGTGTGTGTGTGTGTGTTTGTGTGTGTGTGTTTGTGTGTGTGTGTGTGTGTGTGTGTGTGTGTGTGTGTGTGTGTGTGTGTGTGTGAATTAATTTAAGAAATATCTGTTGGCATTTGCCTTCGAAACCATTGTACTAGATTTCTGGTCATTCGCTTGCGATATTAATGCACAATTTGCCGAAGATTTGCAATTTTTGTCAAAAAATGAAAAAAAACATTTATTTTACATAATTACAGAGTGGCGTATGTCGATTGCAAAAGTGTGCGTGAGGTTCTTAATTTTGGGCGCATGACCTAGGCGTAAAAATCAGGCCTTTAGTTTTAATATTAATTTTAGAGCACGGGAGCCATAAACGTGAAAGACCTTAATTTTAACACAATTTCTCAGGCTCATCCCTGAAGCGTAACGGCTCGAAGAATCTAATACCATGGGAATGTATGATGTGACTTTTTTCACTTCGGTAAAACATCTCATGGTAGTACGTAGTTTATTAGACGACAAAAAAATCAGGCACTAACATGTTTTTTTTAACGTGGACAGCCCCTAGCTAATATCCATGGCAAAGGTTCAAAAGGCGGTTAAAAATCAGACAGTTTTTGCCAGAATAGGGTAATGCTGTCTGGAATCCATCGCTAGCGATCTTACTGCCACACCGAGTATTATTAACTGCGAAGACAGGTCGGTAGGCAAACTGCGCACTGTCTCTTTTAAACCATATTTAGACAAGCTATGTTGTGTTCTCTACGGTACCATAAACAGTATGTCGATATCATAATATATCAAACTGCCCACCTGCTTTTCTTGATCGAGATCGTTTGGGTTGTTTGAAAATGACACGACTGTTGATTTATGTTTCGGCGAAATCTCTGTTGGTTCATTTGGCCTAGCGTACAGGAACAACCAACTCATATCTCTGAAAATAATTAGGGTGATTCAAACCACATAACGTATATTATGTTGCCATATTGTGCCTAACTTCAATCTGATGGTATATCAGGTATCAGTTACCTTTTTCATATAAATTAGATGATAGTCAGCTATTATACATGTCATGATAGCTTGGACTTGCTCCTACTCAGGCAATACACATAGCATAGGTTATAGAAAACATGAGTCTTCCTTTTTCCCAAAAATAAATTGTTCGTCACGCAGGTACCAGGATGTTAGACCATATTGCTTTATCAATGTTTATGTGTATTTTACTGTACAAATGTAGTTGCATACTGTACACATGGCACTGTTTGCAGAGTATCCTATTGTATATATCAAGTAAAAGCTATAACATTGACCACATCTGCTAGGCTAAAGTTACGATCAACATATATATACAAGTCTGTTGGATTACGTTTTAGTAGAATACGTGTTCTGTATTTATCATATATGAGTAGAATACGTGTTATATTGCAATGGGCGTGAACGTGCGATTCAGGCCTTTAAGTACCCCCCCTCCTTCTATTTCATAATCGTTAATAGATCTTGATGCGTACCGAGAAGAATGTTCTGTAATTTTCACTCTAACCAAAAAAGGGGGTACAAAGTCAGAAATTCTTACCTTTCTATGCTCGTCGACGTTTTCAAAACGGGCCTGAACCAGTCACTGCGGGTCATCTGAGAGAGAAACATCAAATATGCCAAGCCAAGAATCTGTAGAAAAAGGGCTTGCAAACTACAACACAACTGTTTACGAGACATTGTAACTAACTTTTACAATGAAGACAAATTATGACTCAGGGACAGAATTATGCATGTGGCATGGCCACGTGGATATGTTCAGTGTTAACGGATGTTGAAGTCACGATATATCGTGTATATTGATTTGTTTCATCCTGCTCTCAAGGCAAACGTTGGATTGGGTAATATTTACCTCCATGAAAAATAGAGGTATTGTTTTTGGCGCGCGCGCGCGCGCGCGTGTGTGTGTGTGTGTGTGTTTCCGCACATTTGTAGTCAGCATAACTTCAGAACACCTTTATGGATTGTGATGATATTTGGTATGCTGGTAGGTCTTAAGAAGCCAAAGGTCAAGGTTAAATATGGGCCTCCTGATGGCTGACCTTGATACTGCAGCAGAACTTCCGGTTTTTGTATCTTTTTGCAAAGCAGGGAAAACAGATGTGCAGGCAGCGCGGTTTGATTAAAACGGTTCTCCCTCTGGAATAGGCTACATGTACAGTTGACCCCTGAGTTGACCAGATCTATAACAAGCCTGACCTATATCAGGCCAAAAGTGCTACTGTATTAGCAGAAAAGCGGTGTGTTTGAAAACAAAAACCTGTGTTATTTTGTCCTGTACTGCGGTTTACTGTGTAAAAACGTATATACAAAATCTCATATATTTCATGGAGGTATGAGATCTCCGAATTCTTGTTGATGATGAATTGTAGGTGGAGCGTCCGATCCGATGTAATAAACAACTTTCATGTTGTCATGACTTGTCTGACTTTTGTTCCCTTTTTGACATTCCAAAAATTGTCTTCACTTTATTTGAATATCAATCAATAGTTTGTGCTTAAAAACCTGCATTTCTCCTCTGGTCTGTCAGTCACTGACGAAAGCTAGTGGATACTAGCTGAAACGTCTGACCGTTTCCAAGATCATGTCCAGTTGCTTCCATGGCAGTCCGCTCGCAGGGAACGGTGATCGAGCCCGAAACGATATAACCGGCGGGACAAAAAAGGGGGTCATCAACTCAATTTTCCCGGCTTTGCTGGGCTAACTGGGTCGGCAACGTTTTTTTTAAATTTATTGCCTAGGGAAAGGAAACATCTTTCCGCGGAAGGGTTAAGCTAGTGGTTGACGTTTGTATGTGCGCAGGCTATACAAGAAAAAAATATGCAGTGTAAGGGATTTAAACAAAAGTATTATCATTGTTATAGTTACAAACTTTTTACACTTTTTCAGGGCCACCTTGGCTAAAGAAAACAGAATTTAAAACAGTCTACATTACAATTATAGGAAAAACAGATTATTATTTTTTAAACTCATGCCTGTAGTGGAATTTAGAGGATGCATGGAGGAGGTGTGGGGCTATATGCATGTACCAAATACATGTATAGGAGAAATCAGCCATTCTTCCCCGGTGATATAATGACATACATACTTACTTACTTACTTACTTTACTTTGGTGAAGTTCCCGTTCGAACCAAACTTAAAAAGACACTTTCCACTTCACTCTATCCTCCATCAGAGTCAGAGACTGGACTTTATACGTTTAATCTGATGTCAATTAAGTTACTCCTAGGACTTCTTTGACCTACCGTGAGTTCCAAAAGGACAGATAATTTCTTCTCTATGTGTGATCTGTTTGAATAAACCCACTCCCGACCGGCTTATGTTCTTGGGCAGGGAATGTCAGATCCCTGTTCAAGCGGTCATTGACCTTTGCTTGAGGTTGTGCTCTCTGGTTGGTGTGGGGATGACATATAACAGTAATTAATCACGCTGAACACCTGGATGGTTGGGCGCCCGGTGTACATTACTTGGAGGTAATGGATATCACCAGTTGAAGTTACTGTTATTCTAAGATAGAACAATAGGATGGAATCTGGGAAAAAATTACTAGGGGGCGGAGCTTCCATCCTTTGTAGTCTCTTTCTCACCAAGTGTGAGCCAGTCCGGCTGTAGCTGTGTGATGGAACAGACGTGTTCTCCGGTGCGATTATCGAATATTCTTGAAAAGAGGACCATTCCCTTGGCTTCTGAGGAAACCTTCCCCCCGACAGAATCAGGTTAGTATGCTACTATTACTTTGTTGGGTAACTTAAATGTGTGCACACAAATGCTGTAACACATGTTAGGCTAATGTGTTTCAGAACGATCACTTGTAGGTTACTTTGTACCGATTTGTCCATGTAACTATTTGCCCTTATAAGGTAGCAAAAGGTATCTTACAAAAGTGCCAGAATCTCTATATCCTTAAATGTTTTGTGTATATTCGTATATGTTTATTGCTCTACTGCCTTCTTTAGTTTATAGACCCTATCATTAACAAAAATTGTAAGCAACTCACTGTTTTCAACCGAGTCGAAAGTGTAAAAATATCTGAATTCTGAAGACCCATTAACCTTTGGTACACCTTCCTATATGTTGGGTAGTCATTCGACCGCTTTTAGCTAATTATAATACATGTATATCCTGTCACAAGCTAGAAATTGCACTTGAAGTTGGCCGTGCTAGAAAACAACAATTTACTCGTACAGAGATTTGTGACTTTAGTGGTGTTGACATGCTCAGATGCTTTCCAGCTGACCTTTCTAAACTGTTGCATGCCACCCTGTCGTGAACCCTGTCGGTGAAACCGACCCCGTAGAATACTAGTACCCCCGACCAGGGCCTGGGCGGGAGGGCACTGCTTCCGGCACCGTAGTGATACTGGAATCATACGATTCTGTCTGCCAGACTATACTTAGTTTATATGAAACGCCCCTAGAGTTTATATTCTTCTGTTAGTATTGCCATATTGTGAAAAATCTCCTAAGTATACTTGTTTAACCAAGACAATGAAATTATTTTCGACTTTTTCGTTAATATACTGTTTATGGCTAGGTTTTAATTTTGCAGCATTGAATTTTGCAGCATTGTTCACTTTGTGACTAAATGAAAATGTTAACCAAGGCCAAGTACATGTACTAGTTATTAAAAATGTTCATAGTGTACCACGCTTAACCCTATCTAGACCGGGCTTTTTTTGGCTTGGTGGGAACTCAAGAACGGTATGTCGTATGACCACCAAGTTTTTAGAGAATGGTGTACTAGTAAAAATGCATCATACCTACAATTTTTATATCGTTATGACGTAATATGACGTCATTATGACGTCATTAATGTGATTTTATTGGCCCAAACCGTCTAGATAGGTTATGCCCTGAAAGTAAACTAAAGGAAAAACATAACTTTACCAAAAGTGTTTATGACAGAATATTAGGGTGTACTAAGTCTTATGTTGCCCATAGCAACACCGGTGACGTCATGCATATTTGAGCTATCCGCCATTTTGGATCATCAATGTTGAATTTTCAAAAATAGTTTTTTTTTCAGGATAAAGCCTAAATTACATTGTTAACAGACTAAAGACGTTCAAACGAACCTCTTTTGTAAAAGGAAATGGAAGTATTGATGAAATTTTAAGGAAAATAACCCGTATAAACCTGTTTTTATGATATTGTCCGCCATCTTGGATTTTGGCCAATGACGTCATCAAATTAGCATAAATTATGCATTTTTCATTATAAAATTTACATAAAATTATCTGGGATGTTATTGATATCAGAAACCATGTGTAACTTGACATAAAATCCATAAAATTCTATTGTTGAAACTAAAATTACTAAATTTAGCAAAAAATGCCTGTCAGAAATCCGTTGCCATGGCAAAACAAAAAATTATTATATTATTCCAATGATATAGAATTGTTGCCAACAATATTCTAGGAAAAGTTAAGACCACCTACATTTTAATATGGCTTATACTAATGCCACACTTATTAGTTATCATATCTACCTCTCCTCACCTCACCTCACCGGTCCCATAGCAGTCTGTCCTGCCGTCGGGGCAACTAAACTGTCCACAGGAGTTAACCACCCAGGGCGGCATATCTACCTAGTACCTCGCAATTGCTTCCATTCCACTCCTGTCTTTTTTATAATTAATATTTTCTCTCCTTTTCTCTTTTTGTGATTTTCTGATACCAGCAACGGAGTTGACAATGTCATCTTAATTCCTCTGTATCAATTGCCAAACCTGACTCCTAGCTACAGTGTGTATATGATATCCGGTACAATTGAATTTGTTTTTCTTTCACGCAGACATGATCCAGCTACCTGTGATCATGATGATGACATCAGTGGCGACAACTCAAGCATGGCATCGAAACCGTATTTTTTACTCAAGAAGATGGAGCTTGAGAACATGGGAATCAGCATTATTCTCACAAGTGTGCTTCGTTGCAGAATAATGCACAACATGGAGCAAACCATTATGCAGGTTAGTGGACTCTTTTTGCTGACATTTGTAGCACGTTTACTTGTTGAATAGAAATGTTTACCGTCTTGTCATCAACCAATTCTTAAAGCAGTGCAAAGCAAAATAAAGATCATGTCAATACATATGAATTTTGAGCGAAAGAAAAGAAAACATATTTCGCGCCACCCCCACTAGTAAGTACATTTCTGTATTGAAACATCCAAATGACCTCAGATGACTTCAAATGGAAGCTTGCTCAATTCCTTTGCCCCAAAATAACCACAAATGGAATACTTGTTGTGTTCCGAAGTTCCGGTGAACTTATATGAACCCCGATAGAACAGGTAAAAAGATCACACTTAAGTGCATACAATACATAGACAATGCTGTGTCAGAATTTGTCATAGAAGAACTGATTGAGGCAAATTTAAGCGACGGTCACAACCCGCCGTACGTGCTTCTGCGTGCTGTCTACGTGCAAAAACGTGGGCAATCGTAGGGCATCCGTGCGTGGTGAGTACCACCTCCGTACGGAATCCTACGGATTTGGGAGCACGCAGACACGCCGTAGAACTTTAAGTGCATGTAATACTTTTTCTACGTGCGGTCTGCGGATTTATCACCCGTGCGTGCGAGTACGTTCGACGCGCGTGCCCCGTACACGCCGTGCGTGCTTTTTGTCCGTACGTTTTTGTCGTGGCTACGTCTGCTACGTTTTTTCTGCAAACGTAGGGTGGCCGGCCGAGGGAGTACGTCACTCGCACGGTTGCGCAAGTTGTACGTACGTGGTCTGCACGACACGCCTGGCCG